GCCGGGGGCGGCAGTCCTGGTGGATCAGCACGATGCCCACCCTTGCCTTTGCCATTCCCTTTGGGCGGGGCGGAGGAGGAGGAGGAGGTAAGGGAACAACAGGAAATGAGAGGAGAGAAGCCGAGGAGCAAGTAGAGAAACTCTGCTGCTGCTGCGGCAAACTGAACCCGCGAGCTAGCAATGCCTGCAATCGTTCACTCTGCTGCAGCATGCCACTCAATTGGCTCACCCCTTGCCATCACACTTCCCCCCGTCCAGCACCTTGCCCAGCTCTCTTTCCATCGGGCCCCTTTGCGCAGCTCCTGAGAGACGCTTGCACCCCTGGACCCTGACTAGGTACTGAGTGAGCACCTCCCAAACCTCGAGGATGCGAGGTGTCCTCGCCTGGGTCGCCACCGTCAGCACACCTACGCGGGGTTCTGGAGCGTCGTTGCGAGCCTTCTTGTAGCGGAAGAGGGTCACCAGTTTGCCGATCTGCGACGGTGTCGGCAACACGATGCCCTCTTGCCAGAAGCCCCTCACGATGGCGTGTGCTTTGGGCTCGGGGTGAGCGCCATTTGCTGCCAACTGGTCGATGACGAAGCGCAACGTCGCCACGAACAGGCACACGAACGGAGTCCCGCGCGCCTTCCAATCCACCTTCTCGCCGAGCTGGGCCTGCGTCTTCGTGTGTTTGGACGTCTGGTCGTGGTCCGCGTTGGCGTTCACCATGATCTTGCCGACGTCGGCGGGGTTCTGCCCTGGGTTCTCGAACGCCTCGTACACCGCGCCCTCGGGCGCGGCGATGGCGCGCGAGTTGCTGAGGGACAGCCTGCGCCGTCAGGTTGCCTCCTCCTCCTGGCGGTGGCTGCCTGCCGTCGAGCTGCTTGGCGATCTTCCTCGACGCCGATCCTTGGCCCTCGCTGGGCCTCTTAATCCACGTCGGCATCCCTATGTCGGTGGGCGCCGTTGCTGCCGTGGGTTTGTCGGGCATCACCTCGAACGCCTATCTGTGAAGTGCACGCAGATACTCTGAGCGCGTCAAATACACATGCCAAGGAAGATAAACCAACATGTGGCAAAAAAAAGGTCCTCGGCATTCCGTCCAGCGAAGTGACACAGGCCACACATATAGCTCTTGGGTTCTACCAAAGGGACTTGTGAACGAGGGCCGAAACCGCCACAGTATCCTCGCTGGAGGGATGCCTGCAAGTGACGTGCTGCCATGACCTGATTCCTGAAGACCTTGGAGCATGCGGGGCACTTATTAGAGGTCACTAATACATGGCTGAGGTTTCGAACATGGTGCCTGTGTCGTAGATGCTCCATGAGGCCGTTTCTTGTGGCCAACCTACGAGAGCATGGTGTGTGCGTGCTGTCACTTGGTACCACCGTTGCCGTACAAACGTAGGATAGGGCTAAACATTCAGGGAGCTCAGGATCCTCTTCGGGCTGCTGTTCATCTCCTCCCCCTCCAAGGCAAACCGGTGGTGGGACCGCATAGCTGACTCGACACCTACGCACCCGACGAAAGTCAAGCGCGGCGAAATCCCTCATGACCTCCTCCTCCAGTACGAGCTAGGGGCAGTCCGCTATCCTCTCTAGGAGGTCTTCAGCGTGGGGGCAGGACTTGATGGCCTCTCGTACATCATGCCCAACCCTATGAGCCCAAGGATGAGCGTATTCCGTCAAGCCCGTAGCTGAACACGGCCACTGGTCAGGATGCTCGAACTTCATGTCCCCCCGAAGAGAGCAACGAGCACCTGAACGTGAGAATTCAGATTGCGAGCCCATTTCTGATACCAATGGAGGCGACGTGCAAGCAATTCAGAGTAATAATTAGTAATGCCCCAATAATCTAATACTTCCCGAGTTGCTACAATACGAGAATGACAATCGTCGTCCTGTGCGTGTGTACATGCTGCGCCCATCATTGCTGTGCGTCCTAGTCGTGCCAGGTGTCTGTCCAAGAGAGCGTGCTGCTTATCTGAGAACAGAAAAATGTTCCAATCCAGGCAACAGCGCACCTTGAACAAGGCTGATGAAGATGACCCGCTTCCAGGCCTTCGGTCTCTCCATGGACCAGAAGGCGCCCATGCTCTAGAAGCCAGCCGACGCAGCATTCATTCGACGCTCGAGCTGTGGGGATGCCAGCTGCAGCGGTGTGATCATCGGGCCGAGATAGCGTGCCACGTCCGAGACCTGCCCCGCATGGCGGCCCCCTTCGATACCCTGGAAACGAATATACTTTTTACACAACTTTTTGAACCTGTGCCAGCAATATAACAATGTGTCACCTGTTTTGTTTTGTTCTGCACATATCCTGTCGTAGCGAGGGAGTCGTCGAAAAGGTCGTCTATCTTGTTTAACCAGTCGACTACCTCATCCACACCCTCCCCAATACATAGGGAATACGGCCACGGAAAGCATCAGCGTACTTCTGATATGGCATGTCCAACCTCACCCCGCACCATGTACTTTCAAGCCGGCTAGTACTAGGGATCTCCTCACGAATCTTCTGGGCCCACTCTGAGACTGGTTTGACGAACGACCCCGCGAACCCCTGGACGTTGAAGGGGTCCCCGATCACTCCTCCACAACCTGTCTTCATCAGCAACGTGCCAGTCGTGGTCTCAACCTCCACGACCGAGAGCCGATACCTTTGACGACAAAGGACCCTATCCTCGGGGGCGGACTGTTCCTGGATGACCTGGTCAAGTGCTCTCCAGTACGTGCTGCCGAACGCGTTCGAGAGGTCCTTCATAGTTATTGCGTAACTCCAACCTGCTTGGCGCAACCTAAGCCCCATGGCCATGACGCTCATCACGGCGTCTCCTCTCCAACGGTGGCGATCATCTCCGTGATCTTTTGGAGGGAGCGTGAGGGGCAGCCGTTTTACGTACCAGGCTCTTCCAATGGAGGGGAGGGTACGGATAAGACGGCGGCCGTGAGGGCCCGACACATCATTCTTACATAGGCCAAGTCCTCTGCTACGATGCCAGTAAAGCGGTGCCAGATTGCACCTTCGAATTTGAACGAGTGTTTGATTTATGATGTAATGGCACACCCTGGGATCTGGAATATTGTCCTGGAAACCTACGCTCTGGCCCCTCGTGCTCGCGCCCACCTCGGGGGGAGAACATCTGATCCCAGACCTCGAGCGGAAGAGTGTCAGGGGGGGACAGCTCGAAGTTTACTTGCCTTGCGACAAAAGACACGAGCAGCTTTAACATCCAAGGTCTCCAACGCTTCCAAGATACTCTCATCGCCAGCCGTGGTCGGGGGGGGCAGGGAGGTCGTCATGTTCAGACCGCCATCCATCCCAAGATGGAGCTCTCGCCTTCATACCTCCCATCCCTCCTGGAAGTGAACAACACGATTCCCAGACCGATCTATCGAGAGGGACAGGACCTAGACGACGCCCATCACGCTGTCTCGCACCGACGCGACACCGCGCAGCACGACGGGACCGGTGCATGGCATCGGCCAGCCGTCGGGAGCGCCAGGCCTTCTCGATAAGCTCGATCTGCGCCGCCCTCTCGGCACGGGTGGCCCTCCGCCGCTCGTCCTTGAGACGAGCTGAAAGTCGTCGAAGTTCCTGCTCTACCTCCTCCAAATCCACCTACGTGTCCACCTCCTGCCTCTTTCCCTTCATAACACAATGCTCCGCCAATAGTTCCCTTCCCCGAGCACTGTCCTGTGGGTCGGGGGCGAGAGGGGCCTGTCCGAAGTGATGAAGACCAGCTGCGTGGATCCTGCGCTGAATAGGCCCGAGGATCAGATCAGGGGAACCCGTCTTCATAAGGCCCAGCAGGTACGCCTCCTGACCCTCAAGCTCCAGTACCACATCCCTGAGAAAGGCGGCCTTGCCCGTCCAGAGCGGATCGCGTGCATGAGGGACGACGGGTTCATCTTCGGGGGAGGTTGTGGAGCGAGGTCTTGTGGGTCTTTTGTATAGAAGATGCCAATATTTACAGGTACGTGTTCATGTGGTGGCAATCCTCGTACGGCTTGCAGTTTTGCCCCGAGCCCCCGAAGGCGGTGACAGCGTACGATTCTATCTCGATATCCCATTGTAATGAACAAGCAATCAATCAATGAGGGACGAGAGGGATTGCCACACGAGAAGTAGGTACACTACAGTGGGAAGAACGTAGAAAGGGATACACATGTGCTGCTGCTCCATCAACTTTCTGACCTCCTCCCCCGCTCCTCTCTTGTGTTCCTGTGTACGTGTGTCCCCGACCGCCGTAGATGGGACCAACTCCCAAGACTCACTTGTCTTAGAGAGGCCCACACCATCATTCAGGTCGGCGTAGAAGATACGGAGTATACGAGCGGATCGAGAATAGACCAGATCTTTCCACTATTGTACTAACACCTGGGCCGTCGAGACGTACTGACCTGCTTCGGCACGTCGGGAAGGTTGGGGGGGAAGTACAAGGATCCATATACAACGTCTTGCGCTCCGTGGTTCATCCGTGCAGCTACTGCTCTGCCTGCCGTGCGAGCTGGTGCCGCCCACGTTTGAACTATGTCGCGCTCCCTGTACTGCTACCCAAGCCACATTGCGCATCCCGTGCTCCTGTTCGTCAGAGGGCCGTGCTGGAAGACCGACTCGATCACAGTTCGACCCTCACAACGACGACGAAGCACTCCACCTCCCCGAGGACACGTCTCTTGTGTACCTGCGAGTAGTAATACATCAGACGCATTCGTATTCAATAGCAACTCATTTAATCTCAAACCTGTTGCATACATCGTATTGAAGCCAAGGGTGCGGAGGACCGAACGCATCGGCGCCATGGGCCCTCCTCGAGAGGGGCTCTCTGTGACCCCCCACACCGTGTGATGGTGTATCGAACCCCAGGTGCTGTATCGGGTGTGTGCACCGCGAGCTGGGGCTCGAGGGCCCATTGGAGCAGGAGGAGCAGGAGGAGGACGGGGAGGAGAACGAGGAAACCGATGAGGAGGGAGGACGAGGGAGGACGAGGGCTCAGGGCAAAGCCGAGCCCCCGCAGGAGCGCCACGTGGCTGAGCAGCGCGAGGCGCGCACGCGCGAGATGGAGGCACCCGCCACGCGGGCCAGCTGCCAGACAGTTGTCGGGCAGGGCGGGCAGTCGTCGCGGGGATCGTCGCCAGGATTGGGGGCGGCCCCAAGATCAGTCGTCGCCGTGGCCCGTCGTCTCTTCCGCTTGTCGCCACGAGGAATCGGAGGCGACGGTCGTCGCCATGCGGGATACGGGTCCTGAGGGTCACGGGTCCTGAGGTGTTTCGCAGTCTTCGGGCCTTCGTGGTCCTCCATTGGCCCCAGGACTGTCAGAACACGACTCAGGATGAAGGACCCGTTTCCCACATGACCCCTTTCCCCAATGTTACAGGTCGATTGGTCGTCGCTGGGGCCGTCGCCGTTTCCATTTGTCGCTATGAGGGAATCGGAGGCGACGGTAGGTCGCCATGGGGGATATTGGTCCGGAGTGTCACAGGTCCTGAGGTTGTTCGCCGTTTTGGGGCCATCGGGGCCTTCCACGGGCCCCAGGACTATCAGAAAACGAGTCAGGATGACGATCTCGTCGTGGGGGAAAGCCCCAGGGTCCAGGATGCGTTTCCCTCAGGACCCGATTCCCCCATGCTAGCAGGAGGAGGAGGAGGAGGAGGAGGAGGCGGAGGGGGAGGAGGAGGAGGAGGAGGAGGAGGAGGGGCGGAGGAGGAGGAGGGTCCAGGATGGGTTTCCCTCGGGACCCGATTCCCCATGGCAGAGGGCGATCCAGTCGTGGTCGGGGCCGTCGGAGCTCCCGCTCCTCGCCACGAGGGAGTCGGAGGCAACGGCAGGGGCGAGCAGCACAGGGGAGGGCAACACTCGAAGAAGAGACAGCACTGCAGAAGGGGCCCCCCTGCTCCTCCTCCCTCCTCCTCCTCCTCCTCCTCCGCCTCCTCCTCTTCCTCCTCCTGCTCTCCTCCTCCTCCGCCTCCACCTCCTCCTCCTCCTCCTCTCCCTCCTCCTCCTCCTCCTCCTTTCCCTCCTCCTCCTCCTCTCCGCCTCCTCCTCCTCCTCCGCCTCCTCCTCCTCCTCCTCCTCCTCCTCCGCCTCCTGCGGCGCCGTCCCTGCTGGCGCGCAGAGCGCGCCAGGGAGGGGGGGTCCAGATCCGATCCAAGTCATCCGCGCCGACCTCCAATAGTTTGTGTCCATGCCGATTTTGTTCTTCTCGGAACATGTATCCAGGGGCACCGATTGGCCACGTCTTCAGCGAGCCTCGTGGAAGGATACGTGTAATGCTCGGTCCTGGGCTATTCGACCTGGCCCGGCACGGAAACGGAAAGAGCGCCTCAAACACATGAACCAAAATTATTCACACCACCGTTCGTACTGGAAGCCTTGGCGTTGAGAGCCTGTTACGTCACCCCTCGCTCCTCCTCCTGCTCCTCCTCCTGCTCCTCCTCCTCCTCCTCCTCTTCCTCCTCCTGCTCCTTCTCCTCCTCCTCCGCCTCCTCCTCCGCCTCCTCCGCCTCCGCCTCCTCCGCCTCCTCCTCCTCCGCCTCCTCCTTCCCTCCTCCTCCTCCTCCTCCTCCTTTCCCCCTCCTCCTCCTCCTCTCCTCCTCCTCCTCCTCCCTCTCCTCCTCCTCCTCCTCTCCTCCTCCTCTTCCTCCCCCTCCTACTCTACCTCCCTCCTCCTCCATTGGCCTCGTCATCGTTCCTCCTCCTCCTCCTCCTCCTCCTTCTCCTCTGTTTCTCCTTCCCTCCTCCTCCTCCTCCTCCTCCTCCGCCGCCTCCGCCTCCGCCTCCGCCTCCGCCTCCTCCTCCTCCTCCTCCTCCTCCTCCTACTCCTCCTCCTCCGCCTCCTCCCTCCCTCCTCCCTTTCCTTTCCCTCCTCCTCCTCCTCCTCCTCCTCCTCCTCCTCCTCCTCCTCCTCCTCCGCCTCCTCCTCCTGGGTCCCCCTTGGACCGTTTTGGGCCCGTTGGGGGCGCCTCTGGGGCCGTCTGGGGACGATCTTTTGGGCCTCTGAGCTGCCTTGGGCCCGTCTGGGGGCCCTCTTGGACCGTTTTGGGCCAATTTGGGGCGCCTCTGGGGCTGTCTTGGGATGATCTTTGGGGCCTCTTGGGCCGTCTGGGTCCCTTCTGGGAAAAGGGGAGAACCCGAAACACCAGCAACAACCATGAGGGAATCAAGGTTTTTGGCCTCCTGAGGCCCTTTCGGGGGCCCTCTTGAGGGGCCCTCTTGGACCGTTTTGGGCCAATTCGGGGCGCCTCTGGGGCTGTCTTGGGACGATCTTTGGGGCCTCTTGGGCCGTCTTGAGGCCCTTCTGGGACGGAAAAAAGGCGAACCCGACAAACCTGCAAAAACCATGGAGGAATCAAGGATTTTGGCCTCCTGAGGCCCTCTCGGGGGCCCTCTTGAGGGCCTCTGGGGCCGTCTCGAGGTTCTCTTTGCACCTCCCAAGGGCTCCATCTGATGCTCTCCTGGGGCCGTCTTGGGGCCTTCTTGGGCCGTCTTGGGGCTCTTGGGCCGCTCCACCTGAAAAAATACAAAGAAACGAGCCATGGGAGCCGCCCGGGAGCCGCTTCACTGGAAAAAATACGAGGGAAACTGGCTATTAGACCATTCCGTCCGGGCCTCGCCCCTCCCCTGGACCCCTCCCTAGAGGGCTTCGCCCCAACTCAACGTCACTCGCTCGTACCTCGCTCTTCCCGTCACCTTAGTGTCGCCTCCGAGGGGACATCGAGGAAGCAAAGGCATGTTTCGAGGTACGTGAATTGGCGACGGGTCTCGTTTCCGTGTATCGGAGGTTGAGGGTGCGAGCGGAAATTGCCCCAATTGGGAAATCCATCTCGGGTTCGGTTCGTGTTGTGCGTTTGGGCGAGGCGAAGGTGCGCGACATTTGTGTTGGTAGAGACCACATGGAGCCCAAAAGGCCGCCCCTCCCCCCCCCCAGGCGGGCGCGTGTCCCGTGGTCGTCCCGCGGTTGTCCCGTGGTTGTCCCGCGGTTGTCCCGTGGTTGTCCCGTGGTTGTCCCGATGGTTGTCCCGCGGTTGTCCCGTGGTTGTCCCGATGGATGTCCCGATGGTTATCCCGATGGTTGCCCCGATGGTTGTCCCGACGGATAGTGGTTGTCCCGATGGTTGTCTCGATGGTTGTCCGAATGGGTGTCGCGATGGGTGTCCCGGTGGGTGTCCCCAAAATTGTCCCAGATACAGATGGATACACCATTCGCCTTACCACCACCATCATTCCGAATATTTTTTTACTCAAGATTCAAGCCGCTTCGCCCCGCAGGGGGCTGCCAGCATCGACGCCGCAACAGCATGTCGCTGTGGAGTGGGCCGCGCCAACTCACGGTGCCAGGCTCTGCTTGCGCCGGGTCATACTGTGGCTCACGCTTGGTGAAGCAACGCTACTCGTACAGCGTGATCTCCCGCGCTGGGCTCGCAGAGATTAACCCCGGCCGCGTGATGACGGGCGAGCAACATTTCCAAGCTCGCGAGAAATTTCCGGGCGCGAGGCACGCCGACTGGAACACGTCGAAGACTTGCAAGGGAACATCGGCAAGCACGAGCAGGAGAGCAACTGCCTGGTCTACTCAGAGCGCGGCGGCCCGATCAGGTCGTTCGAGTTCGAGGTGGCCCAGAACCCAGCATTCGAAACACAGGAGCTTGCCTTGCGCGGCGACGGCGATGTTCAAGGACCCGCCGCAGGACATGGATGAGGAGGCGTGGCGGATTTTACGCGCACTTGTAGAAAGCCAAAGAGCTTTTGCAGTACATGACGGGCAGCTCGGCGCGTTTTAGCGGCGCGCCAGGCCTTGCCAGCGCGTCTGCCTCACAGGGAGCGGCGGCTGACGCGGAATCGCGCAGGGTGCCCAGACCGCGCCGCGGTGGCCTGCAGATGGGGGCGCGGGCGCGCGCGGTTCTGCCAGCAAGCCGGCGGCGCCTGGGGCGGCTGCTCCAGGCTCTGCCAGTTTAGCGCAGGGCGCAGGGGCAGCGCCGCCGCCGCGTCCGCTGTGTCCGTTGATGGTCGCGCCGCCGCCGGCTTCGCAGTCTGAGTTGGGCCCGCCATTCTTCGCCGTGGGGGTAGCGGCGCCGTCGGCTCCGTCGGTTGCTGCTTCGGCTGGGGGCGCGCGCCCCTGCAGACGCTGCCCCTCCACTCTTTGCGCCGGATGCGGGGCCGGCGTCGGTGCGCCCGCCGCCCTCCTTCGAGGCTGACGCGGGGTCGGTTTCGAAGAAGAGCCGGACCGGCGAGCCGGCGGCGGAGGCCGCGCAGGGCGCCCTCGCCCCGCCGCAAGGGCCTGCGGCAGAGGCCGCGGCCGCGCCGCGTTCTGCCAGCAAGTCGATGACGGCGGAGGCCGTGCCGGGTGCCCTCGCCCCGCCGCCAGGGCCTGCAGCAGGGGCCGCGGCCGCGCCGCTTCCTGCTGGCAAGCGGGCGGCGCCGGCTCTGCGGGCAAACGCGCTGCAAACCCGCGCAGAAGCGTATGGCTCCGAGGACTACTTTGAAGAAGCTATCGATTGGGGTGGCCCCGACGACGCAGCAGAGGAAGTCGCCGGCTTCGAGGGCGCTGCGGAGTTCGCCGAGGACCTGCAGCGGCCAGTCTATAACGGCACTGCAACGGGCATGCGTGCGGCTGCCTATCACGCCGCGGCGCGCGCGGACGCGGGTGGGCAGGGCTGGCGGCAAAGATGATCGTAGTAAGGAGACGCCGCTGGTAGTTGTACGTGAGTCGAGTTGGTTTCGGAGGGGCTGGGGGCGGGGGCAGAAGGAGGCAGAGGGCGTGGGGGGCAGGGGAAAGAGCGGGGGGGGTGAATATGATGGCGTGGACGCGGAAACAGAGCTGGAAGGTGCGAAAGCGGGGAGAAGGAAAGACGGGGGCTTTTTTCGGGGCATGCCGTCCACAGAGGCGTTGGAACCCTTCGAGTTCGGGGGCGGCAAAGACGCATCCGAAGTTGATTGGTCTCCAGGGACGAGACCAGTCTGCGCGCATCCTGGACAGTGCTCGAAGTTGTTTGGGGACCTTCCTGAGACCTGCAGGCGTAAGTGCGGCGAGCAACACCTCTACTCCGTGGAGGGTCGCGCGCGTTTGCTTGTGGGCCTTGTGATGAAAGCGCTCGGGCGCGCTCGTCGAGCTGGATCGCGGTCGCCCGGGCTGGGGGTTGAGCCGTGGCGCCAGGCTCTACCGGCGCCGCGCCCTCTCATGGGAGCGAGCAGCGGCTCCGCCGTGACGGCGGCGCGCCCGCGGGGACAGTGGGCCCCGAATCCGGCAATCACTGTGGCGTTCGTGAGATCTCATTCCAAATAGATGACCAGGTCCCGGGCGCGGCGTCTGGCGTTCGCGCCCGAGACCTCAGGCCGAACTGGCGTGTTGAGGTCGCCCGCGCGGGCGTCCCATGCCGTTCGGCCGCGGTCTTCGTGCGGCACCGCGCTGGGGCGGCGGTCGCTCAGAGGGGGCTCGCGCGGGCTCTGGCAAAGCACTCCGCGGGAAAACAAGTGTGCCACTTCTACCGCGCAGTCCGAGCCGCGGCCCTGAATGGGCCAGGGTTTCAGGGTCGCAAGGTTGTGGCAGCGGCGCCGGCGGCGCTCCGGGGGTCGGGCTCCAGGCGACGCATTTGCGGGCGCGCCTCGGCTTCGATAGAGACCCGCCCATGAAGTGGCACGCGGCCGCCGTTGGCGCTGGGGTGGGGAACGCGCCGGCTTTCCTCTTCGAGGCCGTTCGCCGCGCCCGTGGCCGCGATCTGCGGGGCGCGCGCCCCTCTGGCTGGGGCGCTCTTCCCCTGCAGGGGTGGGCGGCCAGGACTTTCTCACGCGGGCGAAGCCACTTCAGCCCGCGCGCGCGGTCACGCGCGCGCCGCCGGGCGCCTACCCTCCAGCGGCGATGGGGTTGCGCCAGGCCCTGGCGACGATGGCGGCAAAGACGACGACGACGGAGGTGATGATGATGCTGGCGCTGCTGGCAGTGATGGGGGTGGCGGTGACTGCGGCGATGGCGATGGAGAGCACGACGAGGACGACGACGACGGCGATGCCGTCGGCCGCCCGCGAAGTGGCGCCAAGATTTGCGAGTGATCCGAGTTCGCGTCGGATTGTAATGGGTGTGATTTTCTCGAGTGCGCAGCCGTTAGAGCACGCGCCGCTATGTGAAGCTGGCATCGCGCTATGGTGCATTCGCATGCACAAGCGTTATCATTTTATATGTCCACCACCATCCCACCACCCTGCCATCACCACCACCACTCCCCCCTTATTAGCACTAACCGAATCATATATATATATATATATATATATGTATATAGAGAGGTGGGCAAATATATAATGAGATGGATGTGCGGATGGATCGGTAAACGAATGCATCGATGTATATATGTTTATATACATACACATATAGTAAAACATAGGTGTAGACAGGTAGGTGGTGATATTCATACATCGGTTGATCGATGGATTGGCTGCTGGGTAGATAGGCGGGTGCGCGCAGCCAAGCGCCCCCCCCCCAAGAAAAGGGCGGGCTGGAGGCAACGATAAGCCACGCGATTTGTTTTGCAACAGTACAGCACATGTCACACCCTTTTTCGTTTGCTGCTTTACAGTACGAGGCATCCACATAATATCCAGCTGATACTGCCACTTGCGCAACGGCACGGGTAGAGGCGAAACAATGCGATCTACGGCGCCTGCCGCCGCCAAGTAGTGCGCAAACAACTCAATGCCACGTCCTTGCGCCAGCAATTTCCGCTGTATGTGGATATAACGATCGATGGATCGCTGAACTGTTTGAGTGGTCCATTCGATATATATATATATATATACACACAGTTCTGGTGTATACACATATATACGTACTTTCAGATGTGCATGTATATATGTACATGCATAGGTATGTGCATATACATATATATATATATATATATATTCTTATGCATGTATGTATATATATGAATATATATATATATATATATATATATATATATCGATATGCATGTTTGTATGTACGTACATGTATACATATATATATATATATATATTGTGCTGGCGTACGCAAGCAGGACGTAACACATAACGTGCTATGGTTTGTTTGCCTTGTGTGTTTTGTTTGTGATTCTGACTCACTCCCCTGTGCGCCCATTTTGGCTCAAGATGAAAGGGGGATATTGTTGTCCATCGACATATTATCTCATCATGGTAGCGTGAGCTGGCCACTCACTGCTGCCTGACCCCATCCAGGCCTCGGCGCGCCGCGGCCGCGGGCGCCACGGCGAGCCGGCAGGCGGCTCGAGACTGGCGCGGCGCTGCATCGTCCGCGGCGGGCTCGGCAGCGACCGAGCGTCCGGCAGGGGCCGGGAAGAGCGGCCGCAGGCGCGGCAAGCGGAGTGAGGCGGCGATCGAGACAAGGCGCAGGGCACTCCAGTTCAAGCACGACCTGAGGGAAACTGGCGAGAAGCTCCGGGACCTCGCGCACATCGAGGACCATCCCTCGGAGAACTCATCAGACGTCGTCGAGAGAGCGCAGAAGGAAGTCCTCGGCAGGGTCACGGACCTTGAGCGTACGAGGCAGCAGATAGCAGAGAGCCGGGAGGAGCTCGCCGAGAGACACGCTGTCAAGCATGGACGAGCAGGTTCGGCAGCAGTTCGAACTGCTGAGGCAGGAGTTCGCGGCGCAGATGAGCCAGGCCGCCGACGAGATGAGGAGGCTGGAGAGCGAGAATCATCGGCTTCAGCAGCAAGTGGCGGGAGGCCTCGCGGCAATCCCGCAGGCGATCGAGCGGATGGGCGAGCAGATCCGAGGCGCATCGAGCATGGGCACAGCCGCTCACGGTCTCGTCGACACGAAAGGGATTGGCAAGCCCACGACGATGGGCGACGACCAGGAGAAGTTCGGCGCCTGGAACCGCAAGATGGAGAACTACGTGATCGGCGTGTACGGGGAGAGTTTTCGTCCCGTTCTTCGGTGGGCTGCAGAAGCCGAACGCCCCGTGACGATCGCAGGGGCTCAAGCGGCGCACGATGGAGTGCCAGAGCTGGAGACAAAGGTCAACCAGCTGTACGCGGCGCTGATCAGCACGACCGCGGACGGGAGCGAGAGCAACGACCTCGTGACTGGCGCTCCCGATGGGAACGGTCTCGAAGCCTGGCGGAAGCTCCACCGCAGGTGGGATCCGACGACAGGTCCGAGAAAGAGGCTGATCCTGAGGTCGATCATCTCGCCTCCGAAGTGCAGCGCGGACGAGCTGGGATCCGCCTTAGAGAAGTGGATCCAGCAGATAGGGAGGTACGAACGCCGCCAAGGAGAAGATGGTCTAGCCGAGCTGCCGGAGGATATCAAGATGGCGGCTCTCGAGATGCTCGTGCCTCAGGACATCGAGAATCACCTCGTCCTCAACAAGCATCGGCTCGACACGTTCCAGGACAGTCTGAACGAGGTGATGACGATCGTGGAGGCTCGGACCGGCGTGAAGATCAAGGAGCCGTCGATTCGCGCGAGGGTTCATCATCCGGACGACATGGACGTCGGGTCGTTCGGAGCCCCGAAGGGCAAAGGCAAAGGCAAGGGCAAGGACGGCAAGAGCAAAGGGAAAGGCAAGACTCAGGATCCGAAGGGGAAGAGCAAATCGACGAACGGATCGTACTCAGGCTCCCGCACGTCCCCGACGGGTTCGGGCCGTGGTTCAGGGCACACGGCACCCCGAAACACTACCGGGCGCTTCGACGGCTACTGTCGGAACTGCGAGAGATGGGGCCACAAGGCATCCGAATGCTGGAAGAGAGAGCAGGGATCCAGTTCGAGGACTGGAACTGGATCCGCAACGGGGGCAAACGCTGGTGGTAAAGCCGGTAGCCGCGGCGGCAAGGCCGGCGGCAAGGCTGCAGGCAGCCTGGAGGAGGAGCCTGAAGCGGAGGTCGCCGCTCTGGACATGGGCAGCCTGGACTGCCTGGAGCTCGCCAGCGGCAGCGGCCGCGGCGTAGCGGCGGTCGATCTCTCCCCCTTCGCGCAGGACGACTGGATGAAGTTCAACTGGGACAGCGGTGCAGCTATCTCAGCATTCCCTCGGAGCTTCGCGCCGCCGACGGGAATGAAGGGCAACGGCAGCACGTATCGCACGGCCAGTGGTGAGCTCGTCCCGGACGAGGGCAGCTTGCAGCTCAAGGCGGAGGACGAGTACGGAGTGCTACGAGCGCTCAAGGGACGCGTGACGAACGTGCACAAGCCGTTGATCTCGGTGGGGCAGGCAGCAGGAGCTGGACAGTGTTCATTCCTGGGCCGCAATGGCGGCTGGATATTCCACGAGAAGAGCCCAATCGGCAAGCGCGTGGTAGGCATGCTCGAGAAGGAGGCGAAGGCGGCGAAGCACCAGATGCTGCCGGTCTATCGCGAGCAGGGCGTCTACAACTTCTACCTCAAGAAGGGCCAACATGGCTCGGTTGCTCCTCTCGAGGAGGGACTTTCGGCAAAGTCGAAGTCCGAGCTGGTGGAGCTCCTCAGCGGCAAGTCGAAGGAGGAGCTGCTGGAGATCCTCGAGAAGACAGTCCCCAGGAGGCAGCCCTCGGCGTAAGCCCACTGGAGGACTTAATACCACGGCCCCCGGCGGCATCGGCTGCGGGGGCGGCAGCGGCGGGGTCGGGGCCTTCCGACGTGAGACCGCCGGGTTTTCAGCCAGCGGCAGCTGCTGCGGCCGACGCTTTGCCAGCTGCTCCTGATGGACAGCAGGCCGACGAGGGCGAGGAGGAGGCTCGCCCGAGAGTGCTGAAGGCACCTCATGAGCCCTCTCAGAGGGAGATCGCCGAACACGAGGCGATGGGACACGCGACTTATCGCAGCTGGTGTCGCGTGTGTATTGCGGCAAAGGGCCAAGGCCAGCCGCATCTCCGCGCACCGGAGGACGACGAGACAGCGGTGCCGGTGGTCTCGTCCGACTACGCCTTCATGGGCCAGGACGACGCGGACACCATGCCGATGCTGGTCCTTAGGGATCGGCGCTCGAAGATGATGGCGGCGACATTCGTGGAGAAGAAGGGCGACGACGCCTACGCCATCAAGTTCTTCGCACGCTTCTTGCGGATCCTGGGCTACAGGAAGATCGTCAACAAGTCCGACGGCGAGCCGGCGATCCTGCTGGTCAAGAGGCGCGCGGTGGAGGAGGTTCCTGGCCTCGAGGCCATTCCCCAGGAGTCGGCACCGGCCGATCATCAGGCCAATGGGGAGATTGAGGTCACGGTGCGCGAGATCAAGAAGCAGGTGCGGGCGCTCAAGATGGACCTGGAGTCCAAGCTGGGCGTCAAGGTGGAGGACAAGCACCCGGTGCTAGCGCACCTGCCGGAGCACGCCGCATCGGTAATCAACCGATACCGGCGCGGCCAGGACGGCAAGACCGCTCTTCAGCGGCTCACGGGACGGCAGTGGAGGAAGCCGGTCCCGCTCTTCGGCGAACGCTTGATGGCGCGGTTCGCCGGGGAGCGCGCGAGGAAGAACGCGCTGGAGGAGCAGATGGTGGAGGCTCGCTACGTCGGCCACCACCCGCGCGACGGCTCGATGATGGTCATCACGAGCGACGGCGTGAAGAAGGCGGTCGGCTTTCGCAGCCTGCCGCAGAGCGAGAAGTGGATCACGGCGGGCTGGGATGGCCTGAAGGGCCTGCCGTGGGACGTGGCTCCGCGTGCGGCAAGCGCGCCGCGGGCCATCGTCGGACCTGGAGAGGTCGGTCCGCCACCAATTGTGGTGGTGTCGCCGCAGCCGCAGGCGCCGAGGAGGATGTACGTCCTCAAGGCGGACATCGAGCGGCTGGGCGCAACGCCGGGATGCCCAGGGTGCATCTCGATCGCTCGGCACGGCCGGGTGCTGGCTGGCCACGCGCACAACGCGGTGCGCAGCAAGAGGATCTTCGAAGCGCTGGACGCGGAGGAGGCAGGCCGGGAGAGGACCGGCCAGTATCGAGAGCGGAGGCAGGGCCAAGAGGCCAGAGTCCGACCAGCGGCATCGGCCGCGGCAGGGACCCCTCCGCCGAAGACGGCTCGGAGGACCACCGAGTCGGCGGCAGCGGCGGCAGCGGCATCGGCCGCGTCGGCCGCGACCCGCTCGGCAGCAGCGCCAGCCGTGGTATCCACGGCGGCGCGCTTGCGCGAGAGCCAGCCGGTAGCGCCGGGCTTCGGCGTGGCGGCTCCTTCAGGAGGAGCGAGCTCCGGTTCGGGAGCGGCGCGAGCGGCAGAGGCCGCCGCGGATGTCGACATGACCGCGGCCAGGTCGCGGCTGAAGCGCTTGGCAGAGGTGGCCCCGGATGACGTGCCGGAGGCCCTCGAGCGCGGTGATCCACAGCCGGCAGACGTGCCGGTACCGGTGGACATGGAGGATCTCGCGGCGCAGCCGGCGCCAGCGGAAGGACCTCAGCTGCCAGATGGAGTGGCAGTCGTGTGGAACGCCAGTGAGGGGAGGCACATGCGGGTGTTCCACCTCGATGTGGCGTCGATCGAGCTGGTTGAGCTCGGAGTGCTGACGAGAGCGAAAGCGGAATTACTCCCGCTCGTTCGTGAACAGGTCAGTGGCCATTGGGCCAGCGCCGGCGTGGACATCGCCGACGAGGAGGTGGACAGCATCGCCCTATCGGCGTTGCAGCTGGGCGCCGTGGACGTGGCCGAGGTGCATTCGCCGCATCGGTTCTCGGCTCGGGCAGCGGAATTTCAGCTGCGCCCGGGTTTCGCGGCGGACCTGGAGGAACTCAAGGAGGACGGGACGCCGTGGGACTTGCGGCGCCCCGAAGATGTCAAGGAGCTCGAGAAGCAGCAGGAGCGGATGGATCCCATCCTGCTCACGGGGTCCCCTCCATGCGAGAAGTTCAGCTCGCTGAGGGTCCTGAGCGCCAAGTTCAGGACCGAGGAGCAGGAGGCGGCTGAGATGGAGGAGGCCAGACACCACCTGAAGGTGGCAGTCGACGCCTACTGGCGTCAGCTCAGGAAGCCAGGTAGGTACTTCCTGCATGAGCATCCCTGGAGCGCGCGATCGTGGAATGAGGACATCGTCAAGGAGCTGGTCGCGCATCCAGGAGTCTTCACGGTCAAAGGCCCCATGTGTCGGTGGGGCATGAAGCTCACGAACCCCCGCAATGGCCAGGAGGAGTTCGTGCGCAAGGAGACCGGATGGGTCACCAACCATCCAGGCCTAGCCCGGAGGCTGCAGGGCACTTGCAGCAATGTGGACGGCCGCACGGAATGGCACCGCCACGTCGCGCTCGTGGGCGGCATCGCGCGGTTCGCGAAGGTCTATCCACCGAAGTTGGTGGAGGCGGTGCTGGAGGAGCTCAAGGACACGCTGAAGGACGTGGGAGAGCTCAGCACCGCCCAGGTGCAGCAGTCGGGCCCAGCCCCTGTGGATGCGGCAGTGCCGCCCGGGGACTGGACGAGCTACTGGGACGACGTCAACGGCGGCTACCTGGAGGCGGGCCTTGTGGCCCAGGCTCGCGCGGTCGAGCGCGAGTGGGTCAAGAAGCAGGAGCTGATCGAGATCGTCCCGAGGTCTCAGGCTTTCGCCGAGACTGGGCGTCCGCCCATCCCACTCAAGTGGGTCGATACGAACAAGGGCGACGCGGAGAGGCCCAACTACAGGAGCAGGCTCGTCGTGAAGGAGATCAAGGCGAAGAAGCGCCCTGACGAGCAGCTGGAGGCGTCCGAGGTCTTCTCGGCCATGCCTCCTCTGGAGGCCATGCGGTCGCTGGTCTCGCTGATGGTCACGTGGACGCGGGAACCACCGCTCCACATTCAGGAGTCGCTTCGCAAGAAGGGCAGGAAGCCGGGCAACTTCAAGATCGGCTTCTTCGACATCAGCAGGGCGCACTTCTACGGGAAGGCGCAGCGGAGGATCTTCGTGGAGCTGGAGGAGGAGAGTCGCAAGGAGTACGGCGAGGACAAGTGCGGCCTACTCCTCAAGTCCTGGTACGGCACGCAGGACGCCAGCAAGATCTGGCAGGGCGACTACACGGAGCTGCTGGAGGAAAACGGCGACAAGGCGGGCGTGTCGTGCCCAGCGGTCTTCTACAAGGAGGTGGACGAGACGAGGCTGCTGGGGCACGGCGACGACTTCGCGGTGCTGGCTCAGCAGCAGGACATCGACAGCTTCGAGGCCACGCTGGGCAAGAAGTACGAGTTCAAGAAGACTGCGAACCTAGGCTTCGACGAGGGCGATGACAAGCAGGCGGTCTTCCTGAACCGGGTCATCGAGGTCAGTGCGGGAGTTCCGCCTGGCGGTGGCCGGCCCTGCCGGCATGCGATGATCGAGCCGGATAAGCGGCACGCGGAGATCGTGATCGACGAGTTGGGTCTCAGCAAGGCCAATGGCGTGGATACGCCGATGGAGAAGCGCAGCGCTGACAAGCAGATGATGGATGCGAAGTCGGCGGCGTTGGGAGCAGCGGAGGCTTCGCGCTTCCGATCCCTCACCATGAGGGTGGCCTACCTGTCTCAGGACAGGCTGGACTTGGCTGAGGCATCGAAGACACTCGCCAGGTCCATGCAGACGCCAACGGAGGCGAGTTGGCTCATGCTCAAGAGGGTTGGCCGCTACCTCAAGCGGCATCCTAGCACGGTGACGGTTTTCACGGAGCAGAAGATGTTCGACAAGATCCGGGTGTACGTGGACTCCGATCATGCGGGCTGCGCAGTCACACGGAAGAGCACCGGAGGCTTCGTGGCGATGCTGGGGCATCATGTCGTCAAGCACGGCAGTAATCTGCAGTCGACGGTTTCTTTGAGCAGCGGGGAGAGCGAGTACTACGCCCTTGTGAAGGGCGGGAGCGTGGGCTTAGGCCTTCATAGCCTCTTCGCGGACTGGGGGCTGGACCTGAAGGTGGAGCTCGCCTCGGATTCATCGGCGGCCCGGGGCCACGTCCAACGGCGAGGTCTCGGGAAGATGCGGCATGTTCAATCACGATACTTGTGGATCCAGGAGCGTGTTGGCAAGGGCGACCTCTCGATCGCTGCAGTTCCTGGCAAGAACAATGTCGCGGACGTGCTGACCAAGAGCGTGGGTGGCTCCCTTTTGAGGAGACACATGGCTACGCTGAACATCTGGGATCGGGCACCGAGTTCGACTCAGAAGGACATCAAGTGATGGAGTGGATCGAATCCATGCTCCGCTACCTGTGGGGCTGGATGATGTTCCGCCGGCAGCGGTATGATCGCGCCGGGCGGAGTGAGGGGCTCGCGGCATGGCCGCAGCCTAGCGGATGAGCCGGGCGCGTCGGCTCGGGCGCGCGCGTACGACTTAGGTCGTGCCTGGCCGGTTTGCGGCCAGGCCCGAGGAGGAGTGATTCTGACTCACTCCCCTGTGCGCCCATTTTGGCTCAAGATGAAAGGGGGATATTGTTGTCCATCGACATATTATCTCATCAGTTTGCGCTAGGCGGGAGTTGACTCAGATCCACCGCCTCCCTCGTCCCACCCCAACTTCCTCATCGCCCGAAGGGTGGCCTCATCGGTGCACTATACAGAATCGGCGCGGTCCGTCGATGAATTTGACGCGCTCCTTCGCTACATCGGGGGTGGCGGGGCATTCCTAGTTCCGCCGATGTGGCTCCCGCGCTGGATCCAATGGTCTGTCATTCATTTTGCGCGCGCCCGGTGGACAGGGGGCCTGAGGGAAACACATCCTGTCAGAGGCAATGATAGGAAAGGATAGACATAGAGGGGGGCGCGTCGACACCCAATCGCCCATTGATCGCCGACAGGAGCCCGAAACCCCAAACTACTCAGGAACGTGCGGATTTACCGCGGGGGGCCTATCGCCGATCTATCCGCGAGGTGTCGAGGATTCCAGGTCGATGTGTCTCCCCTATGCCAGTCCCCCCCGTTCGTTGCCCTTCATCCTGAAGGGCGTCTTCTGTTTTAGGCGTCGTGGGCCTCCCCGAACCTTGGGACGGTCAAGTCGCCGCGTGATGAAAAGCTGAGCCAAGCGGCCTGCTGCTTTTCCTTCCCTCCCCGTTCTTCGCTTGCCTCGGGTCTTCTGGTCCCCATTCGTCGTCGCCGTCGTCTGCCGCTCATTCTCCTCGAAAGCATGGCCGCGGACGGCCATCTCGAGTCGACCTTGGCTTGTCTCTTGCGCCAGCTGTGTGGGCGTAGTCTGCATGCTGGCAGTGCAACTCTTTTCCTCGCGCGGCGCTGCGCCAACCGGGGGGGCAGCACGAAAGACAAATGAAGAACCGGGCTTTGGGGGAAACCCCAGGGTCTAGGAACCGGTTCCCGCAGGGCCCAGTCGATGCTGCGTCGTTGTTCGTCCTCTTGCAGTCGGTCGTCGCATTGGCCCTGGCCACCGCCGTCGTCCGTCGTTTGTCGCCGCAGTCGTCGCCTCTGGGGGCGGGTGGGCGCGTGCAAGCCAACTGGATCGAATAGCAACGGCCTATCGCCCAAAGCCGCTAATGGGCAATGGAGGAGAATACATGCAGGACGTGGATATCGGAGGCGCATCAGTTGTGATGGGGAGGAAGAGGCAGAGAAGGAGGGATGGTGGGAGGGATGGGGACAAGGATGAATAATAATTCCGATTGATGCGAAACTAGAAATAGGGCAGCGAGTGGAAGAGGATACCGAAAACGAGAAAGGTGGAGGAGGATGGACATGATAATTTGATGAGGGAAGGGGTCGATGACCTCTGGGGGGAGGACGTGTTATGACTGCGTCGATCTTGCGACGAAGCGATGATCTAGAGCTGTTCGGCTCAGTTGTTTAGTCCGTGTGTGTTTAGGTCGTCTTTGTAGGCTTCACAATTGAACTGCCACTGATTCTGCGACAACTTCTTCCCGGGATTCCCCATGGTTCCCGGGCGATGTTTCTGGATTCGCAGTGCTTTTGGATCGAGAATCTTGTTTCACGTTCGGTGTCCGCAGGTACGGCGAAGTGCGCGGAAATTGATTCGATATTGGCGGTGGTCGTTTCATTTTGCAAACGCCCGTGTCCATGCGTGACGGGTACGTATGCGATTTGTATGGTCAAAGGCGCCCAAGGGCACACCAAACAAGTAACGAACCCAGGTACATGCACGATGATGCAAGCCAATGGAAAACAAAAAATGGCATTCTTAAGCGTCGTTATTTGGGAGTCGAGTGGCGCACAGTTGATTCAGCGGGGATGGGGAGACACCGAAACGGCGAACATGTTAACGGAACGCGTCGGGCCGCCGAATATCGCATGTTGTTCGTGCAGACCCGTGCGACAGCCCCAGGCGATCCTGCCGGTGATGGACATTTGGGCTGGTATTGCCAAGTCAGAGAGCGAATCGATACGCGGGTAGACGCAATGATTCAGGTGGTCACCGACCCCAAGCTATGGACCATGTGCGGGAACCAACAGAAGCAACACGAAAACGACATGCCCAGGCAGCTGTGTCATCATAGCGGGGGCACAGGAGCAGGGTGAAGCGAAGGACCTTTGCGAGTTTCAGGAAAAGAGCGGCCGACTTCTGAATCACTGCCGAGATTGTAAATTAACTGGGGAGGTGGATCTATCGGAAAGCCCATGTGCACTGCATCGGCGAAAGATTGCGGGGCGTCGTTGAATACTAAGGTCCATGCAACCTGTGCAACATTCGCAGCAAGCACCTTCGCAGCAAACATGGGATTTGCCATATCCCCGATCATCCAACACCTTGATCGACGCCGGCTCCCTGTTTGCTCAGTGGTATGCAGTAGTACAGAAACACACGTGTCTCGCCACCCCACTATTTACGATGAGCGACATTGATGCGCATCGCGTTTTGCTGCTGGCTTGCTGCAAAGCCGCTGCTTGACACCAGACCCACATGTCGAATGCGAAGATTGGGCAAGGAAGCGGTTGGATGTGCGCAGTCAGAACGACGTCGCCATTGGTATTGGTGAGTTTGGACGTTGGGTGTCCTACATCTAGACACGAGGCCCAGATGCAATTGGACGTGGGGGGGTGGATTTGTCGGCGACTGGCAGATTGGATAGGCGAATCGTCCTTGGGCGCTGACAGAGGCATCGGTGCTTCGCGCGAAGATGACGGCGGACAGGGAAGGCCCGCGCGCCGCCATCGCGCAAGTCGCGGGCGTCTTGCGCGAGACTGCATAGGACAGGTCAATGAGAATGCGTGGGCACGCGCTGCCAGAGCCCAAGCATGGGAGCAGGCAGCGGCCAATGTCAGTCGGGCGCCGCGAATGGCACAAGGCGCGCGCCTCGGCGGGTCGCGCAGGATTTCCCGCGCCGGTCGGAGAGAGAGAAAGGGGGCACCTGCGGCGCGGGAATGATGGCCGCGCGGCCGTTCACTGCCCGAAGTGCAGGGGCGCCCGCGAAACTTCAGCCAACCGTCAAAGTCAACGCAGCGACCGCTGCCAAACCCAAGGCTGGCCGAGACGTGGCAGTTGTTCCGCGGTTTCGTGGGCGCGCGCCGCGGCCGCGGCCGCCTTGTGCAGGCGTCCGCTTCCCGGTAGAACCGATTGGAACGCTCTCTGCCCGGGTTTCGGCCCAGGGGCCATGTTGCGCAACGAAGCGCTTATAATTGGGGGGGGGTCGCCCGACGGCTCTTGGCTCGCAGGGGGGAGCGTGGCCAGGCCGCGGCGCGACCAACATTTAGCCGCACGTTGGGGAAGTTTCTGGGTCGACGAGGTTGGCGGTGTAGGCGCGTCGCTGGGCTGTGTTCGATGGCAACGAACGTGGAAGGTCGCGCAGTTGATCCGAGCGCAGGGCCGCGGGCGGGGCAGAGCAGCCACCCGCGAGAGAAGGGGGGGGGGGGGGGGGTAGTTAGCCGAGGCGCTGCTCCGGGGGAAGTGCCCCGATCTTCGCGGCTGCTCGAGGGGTGCATGTCTATGTTGGGTGTGCGATTGCGTTTTCTTCCCGAGGCCAGGCGGCGCGTCGGCGGGCCCGCCCCCTTCGGGCGGGGGAAGCCCGCGCGAATCGCGCGCGACAGAGGCATTCTGACCGCTGCGGGCGATTGGAATGGAAGCGACGGCGAAAGCGACACGGGCGAAGGTGGGCGTTTTCGCGCGGCCGAAACATTCGAGCGAATGCGTCGCGGCTATCGCCCGTCAATGAAGGACGCGGCCGCGTGCGATGGGGGCCGATTTCCGCGCGAATCCGGCGCTCCCGGCTGCGCCCAGGAGAATCGAGCGCGCGGTTCTGCGGGGGGGGCGCGGGGGCTGGCGCAGGGGCGCGGGCGCTTCCTGCCGACTGCGCGCGGCCGCAGGGGGAAATTCGGAGACGGCGAAGATGGGCGATTTACCCAAGCGTTTCCATTGCGCTCGTTGCGGGCAGAACAAGCTTGCGCGGAAAGGCGTGGTCTTCGCGGGGGGCGCCCGCGGCGGTTCTCCTGGCCCGATGGGCGGCGCGGCGCGGGCTCGGCCGAAGTGTCGATCTGGGCGAAGAAATGCGCCGCGGGGGTCGATTGCGAGACTGCGCGGGGGTGGCGCAGGTTGGTTGTTCAGTGCGGCGTCGCTCCGATTCGCTTGGTCGGCCCGAGTGGCGCGGGGGCGAGTTGGGGCCGCGATGGGGGGGCGGGGCTTTGGGTTGGGCGGCGCGGCGCGGGTCGCGCTGCGCTCGCGGGCGCCACGGGCGGAGTCGCGCAGTCGCGCGATCATTCTGGGCGCGGAGGCGAGGGGGGGTGAAATTCAATTAGGCCGACGAAGACAGGGGTCGGCAATGTCGCGCCCCGCGCGCGCGCTCGAGCCGCTGCCGGGCCCCGGGCTCGGCGCCGACCGCGCGGGCGCGGGCGCGTTTCAGGCGCGGCGGGGGGGGGGGGGGGAGGCGGGGCGCCCAGCGCGCGCGCGCCGCCGCGCGCCGCCCCGAGCTCCGGGGGGGGGGGCAGCTGATGCAGGGGGTCATCACTTTCACGGCGAGGGCAAAGGCTCGGGCGGATGTCGTCGGCTCGGCGTCGCCGACCCCGGCTGGGGTGGGGGGGCGGGCCCAGCCGGCGGCGCGGCTGCGGCCGACGGGGCGAGGCGCGCGATCGACGCTTGCTGGGGCCACGGGGTTCGGCTCGACCAACGCGCAACTAGAAGGGGGCTGAGAGGGCCGCGGAAGGCCGGCTCATTGAGGAGGCGTCTAGCGCCGCGCTGACGCTTCCCACGTCGACGCCCGCGCGATCAGCGACTGCTCTGACACTGGGGCGACGCCCGCCGGCCTGGTCAGGTTTCAAGCCGAAGGGGCCAGTCAGCTCGCTGGCGCGCGTGCGAGCCGCCGAAGTCTGTCGCCATCGCCGCTCATTCCCCGCGCAGCAGGCAGGGGGCTGCTTCCAACGGCCCCCTCCCCCCGCAGCCAGCCAGGCGTCTTCCCCCGTCGATGCGGGGCGCGAGCGAGGCGCCGCCGCCGAGACAGTTGGGCGCGGGGTCGGCGGCGCGCTGACCGCTGACAACTCGGTGAACTACGCGCCGGTGTTCCAGCGGGTTGGGCGATGATGGGGCTTCTCGCGAGGGGGCCATCGCGGGGGGCCAGGGGCGCAGCGCCGCGCGCGGGGCGGGTTGGGCCAGTGGTGTGGCGTCGAGCAGCGCGCGCGCAAGGTCTCCCATCCTTGCCGCCGCGCGGTCCTGACAGTTTTTTGCCCCGAAATGTCGGCGCTCTCTCGTTCGCGACGCTTCGCGGCTCGGTGCGCGTTTGGAAGGGTGCCGGATATTTTCAGCCGCGCGCTGGGCGCGCTGTCAGTGAAACGCAGCATGGGGGGATCTGGGCAGGGGCCCCGGCCGTCGATGGCGCCCAGTGGCGGCGAAGAGCGTTTCAGTGAAGTGCGTTTTGGCGACGTCTGTCGCCACCTCGCCGCCGCGAGGTCCGCAGGCGCGAGGGTCGCGGGCGTCGCGTTGGCCGCCGCGGGCGCGAGGGTTATGGGCAGGCTGGATGTCCGTCGGCAGAAGAACGACCCAGTTCGTTGGACATCGGCGGAGGGGCCCGCCGGGAGGTCCGGCGCCGCCGCGCGGCATCAGGCCGCGGCTTCCGTCGAGCAAGCCGCCGCCGAGCGGGGGCTGCCCAGGCCGATGTGCTGGGGGGGGGGGGGGGGCAGACCGAGGTCCCACCTGGGAAGCGACAGCTCCCCCGGGCGATGCAATTGCCAGCTGGGGGCCGCCGTTCGGCGCAAGGGTTCGCGGTGGAACGCGCGGCCGCGGCAAGGGGGGGTTTTCGCGCGGCTGTTTCGCGACGCGGCCGCGGGCGACGCGATGCCGGCGCGTTTCAGTTGTCGGGCCGCGCTCGCCGAGCGGCCGCAGGGGCGCGACGACCGCGAGGGCCGCGCGGCAATGGGCAGCGCCGCCCCCGGAGGGGTTGAGCAGGCCGCGAATTGGACGAACTCGGGCCCGAAAGATCCGCTCGAGTCATCGCGCCGCCCGCGCGAGCGCGGCGCGGCTGGAGTAAGACTCCGCTGATGTCCGCCCCCAGGCCTGGGCATCGCTTGCCGAAGATGGGCCGGGCGCCGTCGTTTGCCTCGACCCTGCCTTTCTGCGAAATTCGAATCGTCGGATCACCGCGTTCGGCATCGCGCTCGCGGTTCTAGTTGTAGCAAACCATATTAATAGTTCGTTTCGTATATCTCCGTTGTCTAGCCAATCCCATGGCGCACGGAGAGCAGCGCATCAGCATTCTCGCTTGAGCAATTCAGCTATGGAATGTTATCCGACCGCATGCAGTTCGATTGTGGGTTCCGATGCAGTGCGGGGCCGTGTTTGGCTTTCTCGTGCGACGAGCCTTTCCGCTGTTCTTTGTTTCAGAAAAGTTTGATCGGCCATGGCGCATACCGCCAGTCTTCGGACGAGTTTCAGAGGAGCGGGGGTCGAACAATGATCGCCTATGTATCGTTGTCTGGCTGAAGCGCGCACGTGGATTACCTGTCACTCTTGCAAACCGCAATTAAAGAACATGGCAATACTACCTCGCCAAATCATTATGGTGTTCTTTGGGGAATGAATAGCAGCACGAACGGTGAGAATGAGAAGGGTGACGTGGAGGAGCAGGAGGATGAGGACCAGTGGGGCTCAAATGTTCATTAACGATATTGCCGCGCACCCTCGCCCCAAGCTTTCTCTTCACAGGCCCCCGTTACAAATTCATTGTACTATGGGGGGTGTCCTGTTGGAAGACAGCCGCTTGAAAACCTTGAACTTTGCAAGATCAGCCAAGCTTCTGCGACTTCAGTGTTGCGAATCATTGCTGCTGGTGCTTCTTGGCGATCCTGATTCGTGTCAGCACACCATCCCAGGCACTCAAAGTGCGAATCGGAGTAATTGTTGCTGGGGCGCTGTCCGTGAACAACTGTTTGAATGACATGTATTTCGTTTCCTTAGAAGGAAGAAGATATAAACAACTATACTCAAACCGCAGGGGCGAGAAACATTATTTCACAAAAGGAACCGCCCGCCATCGCATGCGCGCGGCGCCTCGGCGAAATACACAGCTTGAAACATCACCACCGTTCAATTGCGAAACTCGTGCTGTTTCAGACCACTGTGAGCGGCACCGAAGCGATATTGGCATTTTGAAAACGAACTGCCCTCTATCCGTGAAGCTCCCAGAGTTTTCTAAAATGAACGTACGCGGCGCTAAAACGAGAGCCACATTTTCAAAGCGAGCCGCTTTTCATCCGTGACGTTCGTTTGCGCACTCAGCCTATGGTGAAGAAGTCTCGGGCGAAAGGCCCAGCGCGCCCCACCGATGCGCGTCGGAGTGCGACGCGGAAGGGTGATTCATAAAGGGAAATGAATTGTTGAGGTTGGTTGCCGCAGGGGACAAAGGAGGAGTGTGTTTCCCCGTCGCCCCGGTTTTCCATCCCCTATTTCCCCCCCTTGTGCTTCCCATTTCCTCACCGTTACATCGCTCCCCCCCCCCCGTATTCGGAGCGAGCGGGTCGATCGCGCGGCGGCGCAATGGCGGTGCCGCCGCCCTTTCGCCCCCTTGCGCGCGAACAGGTCGCGCAACAGCAGCTGCGCGAACACGAAACGATGTGCGCCCAGTCGAAGGCCCCACCCGCGGCGCAAGGGTGAGAGGATGGATTTTTATATCTTTGCACTGTGGAACAATCGCGATTGTTTTGCCGTGCTCGTTTGATGAACGTTCGCACCCGGCCCAGGCCCGTCAACAACCATGAAACACCAGTCCATGGGAGTTGTTCCAGATATTTTGGAACCGCTTTGCGAAAAACAACGCGACGTCGGGCAGTTCTGCTTTAGGTTGTTGGGGGCATGAGTCGTCGCCACTGCCAGACGTGGCTCGGGAAACGGGCCAGCATGATACGGTAGATTCGCGTCGTGTCGACTGGCGGCGGCTCCTCCGCTGGCGTTCAACGTTGAACGCCGGCGGCGGCCCAGAATCGATCGATGTTGAACGATCCTGACGTTTCGGGAACGGCCGATCGTTCACGTTGGAACGATCCCCGCGGTGTCAGGAACCAGCGCAGAGGTTGGCACGACACGAATATGCTGTACCCGTGATGGGGGAGGCATCCGGAGGTATTGGTGTGTTTTTCCCAGCGGGTCTTTCAACGCTTCTCAAAACAGCCGTGCGCGGCGGAGAGGCTCAGGGCGTTGTGCCAGCCTTTCGGGGTTGGCGCCAGTGGCGCCGGAAGACGGATGGGAGGAGGCAAGGGTATCGCAGTCTCGTCGGTGGCAGGCGAGGGTGTCGTTGCGAATGCGCCTTAGCGGGGTCGACCGATCTGGCTGCCAGCGCCAGCTCCCAAACCCAGGTCCAGGGCAAGATATTGGCCACGTGCGCGGGGCCGATTGCGCGTTGGTTCTGTTCGTCCACAGTCGCCCATCCAAAATTTTCGTCTGGATGTGTCCGCCTCTTCCCTCGAAGGGAAAACAATGCGCGCGTTCTCGTACATTTCTGGAGGTCCGCGCGGATTTCGTGGATCAGTGCTCTACCCCCCTCGCGACGCTTCTGGCGCGCCCCGAACGCCAGGGAGGGGCATCTAGAGCCGTCCCGATTGTTTAGCGCTGACCTCCGAAAGTCTGTGTGAATGCATTTGTTTTCCCACTTGGGCTTCGCCTAGGCTTTCCGACTTGTCTGTGGAGGGCTGGTGGGTGCGCAGGCGTTCAGGAGAGGCGGCCATCGGGTTTGCCTAGGTTCCCCGATCTTGCTCCTTTTGTTCTCGCCTTCATTTGTCGGGGTCTTTGGTCCTTGCTTCTTTGGTTCTTCGGTCCAGGTTACCCGATCTTGCTCCTTTGGTCCTTTGCCTAGGTTCCTTTGGTTCTTCGGTCCTTTTGCTCCTTTGGTTTTTCGGTCCCTTGGTCTGGTTCCTCGCCTTCGTTTCTCGGGTTTCCTGGTCTTGCTGCCCGCGCTCCGCGGTCTTGTTCCCTGGGTTCCCTGGTGCCTGCAACGCCAAGAAATGCGAAGCGCTGCCGAGCAGCGCAAAACATCGCAAAACGACGCCAAGCAATGCAAGCCAATGCCAAGCACTGTCAAGCAATGTCAAGCAGCGCCAGGCAGTTCCAAGCAACGCCAAGCAACGCCAAGCCAAGCAATGCCAAGCAATGCCAAGCCAAGCAATGTCTCCCTTGCTTAGTTACTTACGAAACCTTCTCCAAGTTGGTCTCGCACTGGGCTCATTTTTTCTGTTCCCGGCAGATGTGCGAGGCGAACGGTTGGCCGCAGCCTTGGCGGGAGAGCCCCACCTCGAGTGAGGAGGGGTGCTGATGACAGAAATCGAACAAGGAACAATGGCATAAACAAAAGCTTTCGGAGCACGCGGATTTTTTGGATTTGCGCGAAGGCCCCCCCGGCGGCGCCTCCGGCGCCGCCCCTGGTGCGCTCCGCGCGCCAAGGAGAGAGGTCTGACGCGGATCTGTGAGATCCGCGCGGACCGGCAGCAGTTTATGATCATGCCGTTGTTTCTTTCTTTGAGCAAGCCCGACCCAAGTTGCGCACTGCGTTGCACGAGGGTCCACCGCATTCGGCACCAGGCCAGGGAATTCTGAAAAGTGCCTCCGCCGACCCCGGGGCTGGAAAGGTGGGCGGAGGCAGCACGCTTAGGGGGGAGAGCGGGCTCCCCCCCCCCGACATCCTCGCGTCGTAGACCGAAGTCACGACATATGCTTGTGACAGCTGTCAGCTTCTAGTGCGGGGGGCTACTGGGCCCCGGACCGTCAGAAACCTAGGATGAAAAGCCAGCGCCTGTGAGGGTTTCATCGCCCCTACAGTGAAACCCATACTCCGTGAGGAAGAGTGTTCAGGTGCCCCAACGTTGCCCATGCATCCTTAGATTTTCGGCCATGTGCTGGTCGAAAGGCTTCAACTTGGGCAGCCAAGGGGTCTTGCATCATCACCAAGCATCCTTACTGTAGATGTTGTCTCGACTTTGCCCTCTCTCCTTCCTCCTCTCCCTTCTTCCCCGTCCATTCTCTTCCCGCCTCGTCGAAAACCATCTGGGAGCCTCAGAACAGTTTCCAAATGCTCCAGAAACCACAAAAGCGTCCGAGAATTTCCCAGACGCTTTCGAAAGCCATGGGGATCCCCTTCCCTCTTCCCCTCGTTTCCCCCATTCGCCACCCCTGCCCTGGAGGAGAGGGACTCCCAAGACCCCGTCGCCTTCAATAGTACTGAAAACCTAGGCAAGGAACAATTGATCGTTCCTTCCTCCCTTTTGCTTCTTCTCCTTCTCCTCCTCCTCCTCTTCTCCACCTTCCCTCCTCCACCCAGCATCACCCAAACACACTTACACTGCGTGTGAGTCGGCTCCCTAGTTGCGACGCGCGCGATCAGTCATCTGGTATTATATGCATGTATATGCTCGTCGGCGGGCGCTTCCTGGCCATCCCGCTTGAGTAACGATATTCCCCCACAAACTGGACTTGCACTTAGGGGGTCTTACTTCGCTTGCCCAGGGGATTGGATCGGTTTGTCCGGGCTTCGGCTGGTGACCAGTTGGTGCCGCATCGTTGTTGCCTCTTGCCGCCTTGCTGCGCTGGGTTGATGTGTCGGGGTTCCGGCTGATGCCCAGTTGGTGCCCTTTCGTTGCCGCCCCGTGCGCTGAGTGGACGTGTCGAGGTTTTGGCTGGTGCCCTGTTTGTGCCGCCTCATTACCCACTCGTGCGCTCTGTGCGGATGCGCCGGCGTTTCGTCTGGTGCACAGTTGGCTGGGTGGGTGTGCGGAGGTTTCGTTTGGTGCCGTGTTGGTGCCACCTCGTTGCCGCTTCGTGCGCTGGGCGGAGTTGCCAGCGTTTCGTTTGGTGCACAGCGTGCTGGGTGGGTGTGTGGAGGCTTCGGCAGGTGTCCTGTTGGTGCCGCCTCGCTGCCGACTCGTGCGCTGGTTGGATGTGCCGGGGTTTCGGCGGGTGCCCAGTTGGTGCAGCCTCGTGCGCTGGGTGGGTGTGTTGAGGCTTCGGCTGGTGCCCTGCTGGTGCCGCCTCGTTGCCGACTCATGCGCTTGGTGGAAGTGTTGGCGTTTCGGCTGGTGTCCAGTTGGTGCCGCCTGGTTGCCGCCTTGCGCTTTGAGCTTACACGGCGTAGCTTTGATCACATATGTACACACAATATTCACGTCCAAGGTTCGATAATTCACAGAGTTGGGGTCCGCGCTGGCCAACATAATGCCATGCATATCTAACTGTATGTTTACTGATTTCTGTTCTGACGTGCGCCTCCAAATGAAGGGGGCACATAGAACGACAAGCGTTTTCCCATTCCACCTCTTTCAACTGCACGACGCATTGGCACTCTGCCGGGGGAAGGAGAGCGTGGTGTGGCGCATTGACGAGGACCACGTATCATCGCCGCGTGAACTGCGTCGCGACAGCCGCCGCAATCGTTGTCGACGTAATCATGTTGTCCACATCAATCCATCCGAAACATTCTTGGTTCAACCCAGATTTTCTGCGTGGGTACTGCGTATGGCATGGCGCGAGGACCGCAGGTACGTGAAATATCTTTGCGCAGGAACCGACCGTGCACGTCGGCGTCAGCGCTGGCCCCGCTGGCCCCGCAGGCATTTTGGCTCAAGTCGCTCTTCGTTCTAGTTGCTTTTGCTTCTGACATTCCGTCTTCACCGGCAACACCTCAGCTCGCGTGACAAGCCCGCATAGCGAGATGGATCGAATGGAGGAGGGAGCACTTGTTCCAGCAGCAACGGCAGAACGTCTACTACTTCTGGATGGCGGGGCATATGCAGCAGGTTGAGTACGACAGCAAGACTTCCAGGACAGCTTCATGGAAGCGTCAGGTGCCAGACTCACCGAGGTCCCCTCCGAGGCCGTCTTGAATAAGCATTTGGGGCTTTTTAAGAACGACATCCGTGCCATTCAGCGGCACGGTGTTTCCCGAGGCGACCTGAACAACACGGTCGACCCATTGCGTAAATAACTCGAGCAATTGCATTACATTGTTAGTAATGATCATGTCGAGTTATAACTGCGCGCTACCAATATGCAAAACACCATCAACGATATGAAATAGGACATGACCAATTGACACATTACTCCAAGGTCTGGGCGCGGAGGGTCGCAACCGGGACATTTCAATCATGTTTGGAACGAGGCCGACGATACAACACATCTCACAGCTGTGGTTGGTAATTTGGATGGGTTCGCCTGTTTCGGCATGGCGCCCGATAGGTTAAAACAGAAAATCGAGCAACTACAGGCACTGGCATGGAGGAGAACATTTACTTTAAGAGGGAGTTCCGGAACATCGTGTTCTGCGTGTTCGGCAACACCGAGGACAGGGGCTTTACAGTGGCGCAGTTACGCAGCGCCAAACTTGTTCGGAATGGGAATACGGCGCGGGCCACACCTGAGCGGCGATCATTAGCACGGGCAGCCCGCAACTGTTGTTAGGGGCTTCTGTATTTCCTCAAGTCGACATGTGCATGGACTTCATCATAAAAAGGTAAACGACCAGAACCTTTGTTCAGTTCAAATTGTCGGGGAGCTTGCCGTGACACTTACGCTCTGCGAGGGCGGCATCAGCATGAACTGGGCCAATAATCGGAGCATGTGGCACGAATTGCAGCGCGCCCGCGCGCAAA